TGGTGAGACTGCCAAGCACCCATGTTTGCAGCAGAAGCTGGTTGTTGGTGGCCTTGGTTGTTGGACGGCATGAGGTGGCGACACTGTCAAGCACGCGACTCCAGAGGACAGGAACTTGTTCTGGTGGGGTTGGGTGTTGGCGGCATGGCCTGGCGAACGCCGACCAGGAGAGGTACCAAGAGGCCTTTAAAGATTTTAGAGACTGGACAGGTTCGAGGGGTTGAGTTCCCGGTACCCGCATGCCCCCTTTGTCGGTGCTTGCCACATCAAGGTCTGTCCAGTACTCTTAAGGACATCCCCCACCGCGACAAAGAAACGAAACAGACAAAAACGTTTCTTGTAGGTTTTGAACTTTGGTGCTTCGCCAGTCTCGCCATTGTGGTCTCGAAAAGCGAGAAACGAAAAAGGTATCCTGTGGGCTTGGCTTTTTGGGATCTCGCCCCGTCGCAGTCCCGCCACGTGATGGTTTATCCCATACATTCCAATACCCAACGCTTATCCCAACGAAACCACAACGTTGCTTTCCAGACTTAGCAAAAGCTTAGCATGCTAGGCAGTCTCGCCAAGTCATGGGGCCTGTGCTGCCCAACTCTGCAGAAAACAGATGCCTAAGCTATAGACCGAGCTTGGTAGTTGGGCTGTTGCACCAAAAATGGCATCCCGATACATGCGTGTTGGGAGCAGCTTTGCGGATGGTCCATGCTGGGAAGCGGGTTCGCGACCGGCAAGATCCTGACGGGAGCCCTGTCGGAATCAACGCCCGCGCGAGATTGAACGGCAATCGCAAGCGAGCCCACTTGGACACGAGTTGATAGGAGCCAGACCGGAACCGAATCAGACCGGATTGGCGGAGACGGTACAACGGGAACCGAATCGAATCCGACACAACTGGAACCGAACGAATTCGAGACCAGGAAGAACCCGGACCGAAAAAGGCAACCAAAGTGCACGACATGGAACCGAAGCAGGCACGGCAAAGATTCGATCCAACACCAAGCTGGAACCTGTCACAACCGAAACCTCCGATGGGCCCAGACCCCGTGCATTTTCTTCATCCTGGGATCTGGTCATCACACCCCTGGGTTTGGGATATCCGGGCCCTGGGAGACTTCATTGTACTTAGGGGATCTAGTAAGCAAACGCGCTTGCAAGCGCTGCCTCTCGAGGCAGATTGAGGGCACAGCTACAGCGCAACACTGTTTACTAGATTGAAGTATGACATCGGAAGCTCTTTCTGTTGCGCCGAGGCCGTCACGATTCCTGTTCCTCCGCTGCTCACGCGCAGCCACCTGGACCTGTTTACGAGAACTGAACTCCAGCCGCCGTTGATGCAGAACCACGGCAGGCATTGGGAAATCCGCGAGAGGGACTCCGCCTGTAAAGGGCTCAGCCGCGACCTCTAAAGATGGTAGCAGGGCAGCAAACGAGTAATGCTGAGGAGCCGCCGCCTCTTCCGGAAAGACTCCCGCAGCATACCCAGCTAGCCAGGATGCGTCGCTCGGAGTGCCGTGTGCCTCCAGGTGCCCCGTTGCATACGAGATAACAGAGCCCTGGATGGGCCTGGAACCCAGGGAGCAGCCTAAAATTGCTTCCGACAGAGGGGATAGCCGGATAACCAACAGCAAACACCATCACCATCTCTGCCAAGGCATCTTTGCCACGAAAGCCGAGCAGAAGAATGTCATCAGCAACTACCAAAGCAGGATATCCTCAACGCAGATCATGGGATGCTTGACTAGGTTGAAACAACATAGTCCCTTGACATGAGCTTCTCAACTTCTCGACACCCCAGCTTGCCAACCAAAGCCTCATGGCCCGAATTGCTAGGGTGCTCCAGTCCGACGTCCTGCCGAGCGTTCCTTGACTCGTTGTATTCGCCAAATCAAACGCTCGAAGGATTTATATGGCGCAATGCATAAGCCGAAATCACAAGACATTGCAGGCTGATTAACACGAGACAAAGCAAACCATGGTTAGCCATCCGCAACCACAGCTTCATTCCCACAGTAGCACTTAAATACGTGCTAGCAGCCGGATGGCAATGGACGGAATACTATTTTCGCAGCTGGCAAGCCCTAAACAATGGGCAGATACCACTTAACGCTCATAGCAGAGGGTGAAGGGAGAGTGATGCAAGTGACCCAGAATCTCGAGGTCGTTGGCCTACACTTACATGATTCCATTCGTTGAGGTTTTCTCAGCAAATCAAATCACAAGTAGCTCTTGCAAGTCATGCACCAGTCAGTCGATCAAGAGAATCGTGTCAAGGCTGTAATGACGTCTACTCGGTCCGATCGTGCATATTCCGCCACATTGTTGGCCGCAGTGACTTGTGCATGTTGCCTGACAGGACCTCAACCTACAAATCACTTGCGCCTGGCAGAAGTGAAGAGTTTGACGGCACGGACGACGGAGAAGAAGCCAACGAGCAAGCTGAAGAAGAAGAGCTGGAAAACGACGAGGAGGTCGAGAATTCCGACGAAGAGACCGGCCCAGCAGCTGGCTTCATGACCGGTTACGGAAGGGGAAACGCTGAGGAGCAGGAGGAGGGAAGTGAAAGTTTCGAGAGCAGTGAAAACGAAGAGGACCCGGGAGATGAACAGCTGCAGGGTGAAGACGAAGGCTTTGAGGAAGCATCTGCCTTTGAAGCTGGAGATGCTTCGCCGGCTGCAGATGTTGAACAAGATGTGGATCAGGTGGGATGTAGACCAAAACGTTGTCCTGGCAACACCAGCGCACCTTATTTTGCACTGCTGCCAGTTCGGTGAAGACGAGGAAATACAGCCGTCACGCTCCAAGGCTCACACGCCATTTGAGCCTCATGCTGTTTGCAAGCTGGTACTTCTGGCAAGCTTCTGCTGGATTGGCGTCAAGCGCACATGGTACTGCGTGAAGAACCTTGTGCAGGTTTCTGCAGGCCACCACGACTCCGGCGAAGCATCACAAGAAGTGGCCGATTCCCAAGATAGTGTCACGGTCACGGAAAGTGCAGAGGGTGCCATACGAAACTACCCTGCAACTTCCTCTGATCAGCATATGATATCCTCCAACCTTCCCGCTCCTTCATGTAGGTGAGCTCATGGGCATTTGCACACACACACACACACACGCACACTTGTTACTCGTATGTTGGAATTAGACCTAGTTTACCCTATTGGTATATAACTGCTTAGCGTGATACTTGTCTTGTGTGCACATGATCTGTTTTTGCTCCAGATGGACCCCACAAGGGCCCAGCAGGTAGCAATCTTCGAACATGATCAAGAGTTTCCAAATTACTGTACAAGACATTGAAAACATGTTGGAGCTCTCACTTCTGGCACAAGGTCCACAGCCACGATTTCGGTTTTCACTTCCTCCAAACCCATGTTTGAATCTTGTGTAGTAAAGCAAGGTCCCAAAGAACCACTCCCGCTGCTTTCACTTCCGGGTAAATGCTTGGCATGGTCCGCATCTGCCTGGCCGTGGGAAGGGCGAGCATCGGTGGTGGTGGGGGCGGTGGGGTTGGAGGTGGCAGTGCTGCTGCTGCTGGCGCGGGTGGTGGGGAGGTGGCCGCACCTGCAAAAGACGTCGGCATGCATCGGCATGCATTTCGCTAGAGCTTGCAAAGTCAGAATCCACACGTCTAGTCTTCAATGCTTGCGCTGAATTCTGTTAGAAAGCCTTGCTCAACGCTTTGTTGGCAGCGTGTGCAAGAATTTGCTTTCGGCCCGCTTTTACGCTCTGTGCCTACAGCTCGACGCCTACTGCGATGCTCGACGTTCCGATGCCACGGCACGACACCCGTGCGATGCCAACTCGCTCTTTCGCCTGCAAATGGGGCGAAGTGCTGGAACAATGTTCGAAGCATCGGCGGCTTGGTGAACTGGTGAACAGGTCAGGGCTCGAAGGAAATCGTTGTACTAAGCTTGTCCTGTCTCGATTTCTTCGCAAGGCCCGGCGAGGGTCTCGTCGCCAGTCCAAGGAATGAGGTTCGCCATGCCCGCATGAAGCCGAAAGCCTTCGCTGCCCAATTATATACTTCCACCAAGTCACAGGCCAAGATGGAACCTATGCTGCAAGACCACTTCGGGCAGTGGGCCGTCCAGTTTCACTTGTTTCTTTCAGTTCAATCTGCTGTTCTCAGAACAGCTTCAAACGTGTTTCACCTTTAGGGTCTCCACCGGCATCGGCGCAAGGTAAAAACAAAAAGGAGATCAGGAAGCCAGCACACCACGGAAATGTGCGATCAGGCCCTCGGAACTGGATTTTGTGGAGGTCTGTTATTTTGGCACGAGACGAGGTCAGGTTCTACGAAGTTTGGTGGTTCATTTCCCTAAGTGTAGCTGGGCATCACTGTAGGTAGCAAGCAAACATTCGGGGTGGCACAGGCTTTGTCGTAGCACAAGCTTACATGCTGTGATCATACTGTCTTGATTGGGTTCTGCAGATTGGGTTGGGTACCGAAGCTCCGTTTGTGTGTCTTGTCATTCACGTCGGCTCAATTCATCTGGTGGGCCAACTCGTGAGTTCGGGCTTGGTTGTCATGTTCAGCTGTGCATGTTAGCTTGGGTATCTTGGGCAGGTTAGGTTGGGCTGAGAGAGGGGTGAGATTGCTTAGCTTAAGGTATCGTAATCCCGTGTTACTGTCTGTAGTTGGGTGTAGCATGCTTTGGCTATGCATGACGTCTTCTCGATTAACGCATACTAAAGCTATTTGGGTCACTTGACTTTGCATGGTTTGGACTTCTGCTGGGTCGGTTATCCATTGATGAGGTTGGGGTGCTGAATTTTTGTGACCTTTTCGCCACCAAGCGATTGCCGTGACATTTTGGCTTCTGGCATGTAGGAATTCGTCCAGTGCTTGGGAATGCCTTGGGCGGCCTGCTCTGGACTTGGTTGACGGCTAGTGGATATCGCGTTATGCGATTCCGACTTCCACCTCGTCTCAAGTACGGACTGCGCAAGTACTGTAGTTAGTTCCGCATCCAGGCATGGCGCTATAGATGACCTATGTGTGCATGGCACGAGGCAACAGAAGCCGCGGAAGCCAGCAGAGGGCATTGAGGCCACTCGATTCGATCCACGTGCAAGCAGACTCGAAAGCAGAGGTACCGGGCTGCCGGAAGGCTGGGAGGACACTCTCCAGATTTGCTTACAGCACCCTTGCTGCGGTTCATCATGACAGATCAGCTTAGACGCAGCCCCCTGCATGTTTGAATATGCTGTTCGTGTGGATCGCATGCGGTGAGCAACCAACTGTTCAAGACCATGCTCTCCGCCACACTGAGGCCCTTGAAGCCCTGCAGCACTGCGAGGACACATGAGGGGAGCTGTGAGATGAATTCTTGCCTGCGCCCAGCCGCTTGCTGCAAGGATGTCCGAGGTCATCTTGCTGACCTTCTGACAGGCATCAGAACAACACCGAAGCTTGCTTCGAACTCGGGGCGAAAGCAGCACTGTAGCAACAAACGGCCGTGGCTCAGCAGATACAGACACTGCACGTACCGTCCCGAGGCTTGGAGACTGGCAGCCGCAGATGGAGTTCTCCGGATTGCCGCAGTTGCGGTGCATGGCTTGGCAGCAATCTTGTTGAGACGTCGCAGTTTCGTCACCGCTTAGTCAGATTGGGGGGGGGCGGCGGTGAGAGGCGAAGGACGCCGGAGACTTCCCTATCCAGCTTTATGCCAGTAGCCCGGCATGGCATCTTTCAATTCTATACAGCACGCTGCAAGCCACTTGCGACGAGGCCTTGCATGTGCTGGCGGCGCTGATCCGGCAACACCATGTCTCTGATGGCAGCAGTGTTACCTTTGCAGGCTCGGAAGATTGACGGTGACGATGCACTCGTGCCAATCAACATCTTGCTTCTGTATGCTTGGTGGGGTTAAGTTAAGTGCACTGCCTGTCGAAACTGGTCGCGTCGGGACAGGTGGAAAAGGATTTCGGTTAGCAAGCCACCTCAATGAATACAGGCTTTATTATTTGCAACAATACTCGGTTCAACTTGTTGGGAGAAGGAAGCACGGAAGGCAGGAAGGAAGGTAAGGCAGAGTGGATGGAAGCATGAGAGAGTCATGAGAGTCCAAAAATCTAGGTAAGAGTGCCGTACTGGCGGCCGGGTCTTCCTGCAATACCACACAGCAAACAGCCCCAAAATGAGCCAAAATCCTGTGGACAGCTTTAGGAGATGTTGCTGGCAAACCTCGAACCCTCAACGGTGATGGCTGGGCACCTTAACTTGCCGTTCAAGCGGCAGACATGAAAGCAGCCTTTCGGTGGCAACTGTTCGCCGACCGGCTTATTCCAGTTCGTCGCTTGGGGGAATTGGCAAGACGGACGTGGACATACCGCTTGATCACGAAACTGGATGTTGGGAAAAGGGGAAAGTGACTGCGGACCCCTAAACCGTCAAATGTTGGTGGCCAATCCTCGATCCTGACAGGGCCCCGAACGGATATTTTGGCTGATGCTTTTGGTGTACAGATATCCTGAGCTGTCTTACCGGCTTTGCTTGAATGCTCCTGTGATGGGGAAGATCACACACAGTAGGCTTTACCGGATCATGCCGAACCGTTAACGTGCTGTGATATCTTGCGTGCCAGAAGTTGCTTTTCGCCGACCTGCGAACCGAGAGACCTCGTCTGGCTGTGCTGAGTTGCGAGCTTGATTGGGCCCCAATGTTGGATCGAAAAATCCATGATTTGGCTCTAGCTGCACTGCAAATCAAGCTGTGTCCGTCAGCCCTGGCTGAATCTGGCTGAACCAGTTGTGCTGCTTCCTCCCATGGAATGGTTCAGCACGAGGGCCGAAACCCTAAAACCTACGACCCCTAGTGATGTTTCACTCAGCAGGCTCCGAACCACATGCCTCGCCTGGACTGTCCGAGTGCGAGCGACGAAAACCTAGCGCGAATTGTCCGAGTTGCATGTTGTTGTGTGGCTAATCTTCCGTGATGAGAAGGGGGCGGACCCTGCTCCAGGTCCACCCACCACATTTAGCGCCCAAATGTACTGACGCTAAGACATAACCGGGCAAAACCTGTCGTTTTGTGCTTGCGAATACTCATCGCTCGTCTACTCTAACGCCCTGCTTCGGGTATGGAATAGGGCACTTCAGGTGCAGGTGGTGTTTGCGGCTTGGATTAATGTTGACCGGCTTGTCTTCTGGGGTCGAAGATCAGAAACGATTGGCGGGCCTTGCATACCTTGCTTGATGTTGGGTGGAAGCCCGTCGCTGGCATGCAAAATTTCAAGGACTGCACCCTAAAATGCTTTGATGGTCACCGATAGTTTGGATTGGATTGGATGAGTGGTCTTGCCAGAGTCTTCTGATTGAACCAAAGAAGACCTGGGCCGACAAGGACCCGGACTCGCTGTGCGAGGGACGCGCAATGACGAGTGTGGGCCGACACTTGGGAAAGAAGCCCGGAAGCAGTGGAAAGAAGACGGCTTCGCAGGATGACCGGCAGCCGCTGAGGAGCGGACACCGCGTTGAATGCAAAGTTGCTCTGCTCAGCATTTGATTTTCACAATATGCCTGCTAGCGGCTGCGAGTGGATTACAGCGACCCGAATGATTACTACTTAACTTAAGTTGTTGATACACACAACCCGCCCTTGGCACTGAGAACAATCTTGCACTAGACGTTGTGGCGCAGATCTCGGCTTTCTGGGCTTCGTGAATGCGGCACCGACCTATGCATTTTCCTGTTTTCTTCAACCGTTCCTCCCCATAGCAATCGATCTCGGGGTGGGCGGATTCATGCTCTGGGCATCTTCCGCGACGAATCCAAGCTCAAGGGAGAAACATGACCTGTCCTCTTGAACAGGATTCTGGTACTGCAGGAGATGCGTAGCTCTTTTAAGTTGAGAGAGAGAGAAGCAAGAAGACCAGGAAGGCTGGGAGGACGACCTGCCATGTTCAGATGGCTAGGGCCGATCACAGGCCGCCCTCCGGTAGCTGCACTATGATCCTAAGCAGTAGAGACAAACAGACAGGGAGGGCTGTCCCATCCAAAACCACACAGGAAAAGCAACGGCTCTCCTGTCCTTCCGTGGCATGCCAGGTCCACAGGCTAGAATCTCGGGTAGAATCCGTGCAAGTATGCAGGTCACCTTTCGCCAGATGCCACGGCTGCAGCAGCAGCCGTTGCCAGCGAGGCAGCGTCTCTCGGCAACAAGAAGCACCCTGCCAGCCCCCTCGGTTTCTGCCTGTGACGTCACGCCTGCTGGTTGAATGAAGTATATGTGTCGTTTCAGGACAAGGTTTCCAGAGGCGGAGATTCAGCAGCAGGTGTGCAAGGCGGGTTTGCATGCCACTGGTACCAGAAACACTGAGGGAATTGGACTCGACCGTGCTTGTGACAGTGGTGAGCATCCAGTCAGAACGAAGCACGGCCCGTTGAAGCAGTCGGAGCGTCATGCTATGATTTAGAGGGCATGAGGTTTGATATTTGAGGTGAAGGGTTTAGAGCTCTAGGGTTTGTAGGGTGCAGGGCTTGGGGTGCATTTTAGTGTGTGGTATAGCGAGACACTTGATGATGGCACGGCAGAGAGAGAGAGAGAGAGAGAGAGAGAGAGATAGCGAAGCCTCAAGAAATCGCGTGTCTCGACCTTTCACGAAGCTGCGTGCGGTTTGGGCTACAACTGAATTCGAATAGCAGCTGGGATGCCAAGCTGAAACTCCAAGACATGGCCAGTACCGAATCAGGAAGCCAACGTATCCCCACCACTAAGTTTATCAAACCAGGCGAGCCCTCCATTTCGGTCAGGCAGGAAGGCAGGTCACATGTTGAACCACATTTCGTGAGGTCTTCGCATCCTTGTCAGCTTGTGGAGAACTTGCAGCGACCACGGCGCAGGCTCGCCGCTCCATGTTTAAGGCATAGCGGCATAGTGTAAGCACCGGTGGGGCTCATGCATCGCTGGAAGGCTGGTGCTGCAGAGGCCGCATAGAGAGCGGACACTTCATGGAGTTTGAATCACGACCACGGCGACCATTTCGGGCAGGCAGCGAATGCAGCTTTTGCACTGGATCAGCGCGGCGCTGCTGGGAAGCGCCTCGTGATGTCTGCGCGTGGCCCACAGTTCGAGCTTCTTTCAGAAGATGCGAATCTCCTGAATGCTTCGCTAAGCCCCGAGCCGTAGCAGGCTCAAGGCATCGCACGCTTTGGGAGAGGCTTTGCTTCAGACTTGACTGCAATCGCTAAGCGCCACCCAAACCCCTGCCAGGCCGGAATCGAATCCACGGACGTGGACGATCTCCTGGCGGTTCTGCGGCGCAACCTGCACAGTCCGGAGGTGCAGGCGGTCGCATAGACAACTTGGTAAGCACATGGCATATCCTGAGTTCAGCACAAGCAGGCGATGGCTTTCAAGGCCGTACATGGCCGTCTCCTGCAGAAGGGCGACAGAATCAGCCAAGGGGCAAGAAACCATGTGTTGACTGCCGTGCTGGCTGGAGTTGAGGCCTGCAGCCGCCAAAAGGTACATTACATGTCATCGGCACTCACGAACAACGAAGAGGAGCATTCTTCGCACCTGGAGCTGCAGCTGGCCGCTTCGAAGCTGCTTGCGGCGGGGAGCTGGTGTTGGTCGTTTGTGCGGGAGTTCGAGCACCTGTCATTCAGGTATTCATAGACCGACTTGGCAGCCAAGAGAGTTCACTAGCATGCATGTAGTAATGAGAAACTGGCACTCCCTGTAGTTCAGATGTTGTCGAAGTATCTGGCACTGCACAGAGTGGCAGCGAGGATATTTTGCCGTCTGCACGTCCTGGTCATGCTGGCATGTGTTGCAAAGGGTTCTAGGCTTTGCATGGCCGAACAGAAACTTCGACACAAGGTTTGAAGATTCGGCGTAGACACGGGCCGGTTTAGATAAACCTGGTCAGTCCAACTGAAGCTCAGCACCTCACATAGAGTTTCATTCGATTTCATTTGCAAAACTAAATTCCAGTCACCGAGCTCCGGAAGACAGCGAGGCACATCTTGGGGAGAGAAGCACTCGAAAGCCCGACGCAGTTGGGGAGAGCGCAGAGCACATAGGCCATGACAGCACCCTTGACTATCTTGACACCTGGCCCTATCCTCCCTATACATCTCCACAAGAATCCTGGCTGTGATCCAGCCGCACACCGGCTCGAAACGAAGCTTCTTAAAGTGAAGTGTGACACATGTCTCGGCCCATGTCTATCGGCATTTCGCTTACAGCCTCATGAGCCATGCGAAGTTCAGATATGATTGTATCACAGCCCCGCAGTATCCCGCAGTAGGGCATTTGATCGGCAGAGCGGTCGTGTCGCGCTCGTGTTGGATGGCACTGGTGAAATTCAGAAGACGGGGTGTTGTGCTTGTGGGGCTCTGGTGCGATTGGCCAAGCTCGCGAAGCTAAGCTGGGCGAACCGCCTACTTTTGCCAAACGCCCGACAGTCCGCAGAAAACCCATTCTGGACCCTGGCACATGTCAGAGCTGCGCCAGGTGCTGCCCGAGATCCATTGGCAGCCAAAGCAGCAGCACAGATTCTTGGATTTTCTCGCGGCTGGAAGTTCTGGGCAACTAGCTGGGCCCACTGACCGTGCTCAGGCCGCTGTGCTGCGTGCTTGCATCCGTTTCGGCCAACGCAACGCTGTCTCTGAGAAGCTTCAAGAGGCCATTATAAATATGCCTGCCTGCATCACAACGCATCCATTTGCATGCGCATGCTCGACGACATGCTATGGTAGTTTACCCGGAGCGTGCTGAGATCTGCCTGATGCACGCCAACTAACTCTGGCCGTCAAAAGAATCCAAAGAACAGACTTCAAGCATTGATGCAGGCATTCGTTCGCATCAGCGAAAGTTTGCCAGCGGAGGTTGCGTTTCTGGCACTTGCTGCTATGTTGCAGCTAGAGTCCAGGTCGGTTCATATCAACGCAGTTTAAGGCTTTCGCTGATGTCCTCGAGTCTCAGCAAGCCGACTCGGAGCTTGGGCATTGGGTCACCCACTCAGATCGGGAAGGTCCCCGGAATGGTACTCGCCGAGAACTTGCGGCTTTCCTTTCGCAGGTCGAGGCGGCGGGCATGTCTCGGAGAAGCCCCTCCTTGCAGAAAAGCTTGTTCCAGTATGCGAACAGGCCCTGCTGCCCTGGTTTGTGCGTCCGAGTCCTGCCGGTCAACGCTTCTCGATTTGCAGGTTGGTCTGTAGAGGCTTTGGCCAAGCTCTTGCAAAACATGGCGCTGCCCAGATCATAGTCGAGGCACCACCGTGCCAGCTGCACCCTCGCAACTCCTCAAGACAGTGTAAACACTGATGCCTCGCCCCCAACCGTCACATCCCACAATGCGAAAGCAAAGATTAGCCCCAATCGAAGCAGAACATGGATTCAGAGGTGACGAGTCGAGATTCCAGATCCAAGTCGATGTGCTCAGACCTTCGAGCGGAAGTCTGGTCCGTTTCAAAGTACCGTCCGGAAGATGCAAATCGGAGTCCGTATTTCTGATGGGACATCATCTACTGTTTTATTATGTAGCAGTGGGTTCTAAGAGTATCCGAGCTACCAAGTTCAAATTGGTTTCAGCTTTTAACAGATTGCAAGCGCAATCGGGAGGGGGGCCTTCCATCTGCGAAGATGCCACAATGCCAAGAACGGAAGTCGGGTGGCTCGCGGAGCCGTTTGAAGGATGCCCGGGAAGCTCCTCTCCAGTTCACTTTCAAACGCCCTACTTCCCTGACCTTGCTTGGCATTGTCCGAGTGTTGGCGACAAAAAAAACGCTGAACAAACCGATTCCCGAAGACGCCACATCCTGATGACAGTGATGACCATCAGATAGTGACAATGGTGGTGATGAACAAGTAGCACAAGCATAGTGCTGTTGGCGTGGGGCAGGATCCTGTCGCACCGGACGGCCATCGGAAGGCTTCGAACCATCACACTGTGGGCGAGCCTTCCGCTGAAATCCAGAAGCCGCACAACCCTCCATCCCTGCCAGGTAATCCTCAAGTCTAAAGCTTGTCCTGATTCCAGATCCAACCCTCACTGCAAGGCCTGTTCGACACCCTCGCCCAGACAAGTCCGAAGTCTCATGTTGGAGCTTTGGCCCACGCACGATTGAAAAGTCTCGACTCGGTCGAGGCTGCCGGATTTCGTGACTGTTGACAGGCCATGCGACTCTCGCCCCTTGATGCCGGTCTCCAAAGAGTTTCCTGTGAGGCTCAGCTGGGCTGGTTGCAGCGATAGGGAGGAGACCTGGAGAAACTTACTGGGGCAGGAGTACCACGGTAACGCACCAGTTTTTCCGAAGCTGACATCAGACCAGCATCAGACAGCATGCTTTGTTGTGTGATCGCCAGATGCCAGGTGCTGGCTGCACTGGCACGGTGCGACCTGGATGGCATAATCCATGCCGGAGGAGAGCCAAAGAAGGGAAGACGTGCTGCGCAGGAGGCTGCAGAATTCCAGGGCTGTGCAAGTATCGCAGTCTCAACCCATGACACACTGTCGAAGAGTGTCTCAAACGCCGTTGTCCGCCATTTTATACGACCTTGATCTGCTTCCACATCTGCTTTGCCTCTTGGCTTAGACATCGAGAGGCAGGATTGCACTAATGTCGCACATGACTCACATGACATCTAGCTCGAGGCAAAGGCAGCAATTCATCTGGTGCACGCGATTGTTCGTCTCCAGCGCACCGAAATTGTGTGGCAACTGGTTTGTCAAATCTCGGTGTGTGCATGTGTGCACTTCGAAGTTCGAAGACACAGAAGCCACGATGACTGCAGCCCAAGAACATCCCAGCTACAATAGCTACCAACAGTGAGAACAAGAATGAGAGCAGGGCCGACGACGAAAAGAACGCTATGCTGTGATGTACGTAAATACAAGAGCAGTTTCTTAAAGAGTTAACAAACACAGCATGCAACAACAAGCAAGCAAACAACAAAACCAGCAACGTTTTCGATACTTCTTGTGCACTGACACGGCAGGACTCGATGCCACCATTCATGCACTACGACGTCACCAGCCCTATGCATGGGCAAGAAGCTTGATGTTCCGCTTAATACGGGGAAGAGATGCACGTCTCCCAGATTCAGGTTTGCACGGCTGCTTTGCAGACGCTGCTGGTTCTGTGCGTGCAGAAAGAGCAGGTGCACGTCCTGCGCTAAGTGCATAGGGCATACTTTAAAATCTTTAAAATTCCCTCGAATCAATTCGCCTGCAGCTTCAGGCGATCTCAAACTTGACGGAGTTGTGGAATCTGACAATGGATACCTTGCGCCAGACTCTTGCAAGATGAGAGACGTCAAGCTCGCATGCAGTTCGCGAGCTCTTGCTAACTTGCTTTGCAAGTCAGCTGGGTTTCCAACTCAAGAACTTTGCGCACCAGGTCAGCATCCCAAAAGCCAGAACATCGTCAAAATGGCGAGACTCAGCTGCCGGCAGTGTGCGCGCAAGCCAAGCTTGAAGCTTCCAGCTGGTTCAAGCGTCACAGCTTGTCCTGCATGGCTTGCCCTTCCAGGAATGACATGCTACTTTTCCTGTCCAAGTACGAGGCAAAGCGGGTCGGAAGAGAGGCGGGTTGGATGAGATCTCTTGTCTGTACAATTCACGCTTTGGATCTTAGTCTCAGATGCTTGAGAGCATGCAGGATTGCGGTCATCACGTGCAGACTCGATCTGCCTGGGGGACTCGCTCCCTCGCCGAGCACACACCACCGTTGTGCCTAGGCTTTTGCCTGCATGAGCCAGACGATGGTTACATTCACCTCTGAGCGACAAAAAGATACAGAGCAAAGTCTCTTCCGTAGTCTTCGCGACCGGGACTGCTTCATAAGATATCCCTTCAATGTATTGGCTGGCTGTACACACGTAGATCGAACTCGGTAAGCTGAAAATGCAGCTTGGAATTTGTTTCATTTCGGGAGCAGGCATGTTCCGTTTGGCAGTTCGTCGGCAAATGTTTCGGTGCGAGACTGGATGAGACTGTAGGAAGGCGAACAGCCAGGAATTTAATGGTTCTCGTAACTCAGCATTTGCATCAGTGCAATCGCCACGTCTTTCGCACTCTGTCCTCAAGTGGCACCAATCCACACCCTCCACCACCACCATCGGAGCCCATGACGGCAAGAGGGAATCATCGGAGCCTCAAATGCAATGTCACCCAGCAGTTTTCAGGGAATGCTGCGAAAAGATCCAGTTTCAGTTGTCTTAGGACTTATTGGCCGAACAGAACGTGTATCAGCGCTACAAGCTAGTCGCGCTGCGTACTTCTAGTCACGAATCACATGAAGGTGAAAATATTCAGAAAACTGGTAAAGTTAATACTACGAGCATACGTATAATTACTCACACGTTTAAGCCAAGATCTTGATGCAGTCTGCTTGGATTGACTATGTTCTTCTACGGCTCAAGCTGGCCCAAGATTCACTAGCATAAGGCAAGCAGCCCTGACCGTGCAAAGGCCCCGATTTCACCCGAGGGCGTTTCTACATTCGAACCATGCTGAAGATGCAACGCTATGCACATTCCGGCCTAATCAGAAATTATGTTTCACCTTGCTACCGTGATGGCGTATCCCCGCATGTTGGATGTCATTCTGTGCATCCTCATACCCGCCAACGTGTTGGGCCAGGAGTCCAACGTGTCCTGGACCCAGATCTCAATCCTTGGGGGAAATCTCCTACCGACTCGGAAGCTTCACACTGCCGTACTTAGCCCTGCCGGCCGGATGTGGGTGTTTGCTGGCCGGGACGACAAAGTGAGCTACCAATTTCTGTCGGACACATGGTATATCGACTTGCAGGCTGCCTCGCACTCATGGACGCAGGTGTTGACAGACAACAGCCCCTCTGCAAGGGGTCGTCACAGCGCCGTCCTTGCACCAACCGGAAAGCTGTGGATTCATGGCGGGACGGACAACAGCAATGCCATCTTGAGCGACCTGTGGTACCTGCAGACCAAGAACCTCACATCGCCAACATGGACGGAACTCGCCGCCGGCAGCAGCTCGGCACGCAAGGATCACAGTGCCGCGATCACGGCTTCCGGGAGAATGTACATCTGTTTCGGCGGCATTTCATCCGGTCAGACGAACTCTCTGCGCTACATCGACTTAGAGGACTCATCTCCATCGTGGATTGACGTCAATCCTTGCTGTAACACACCGCCAGGAATTCGATGGAATCGCGATGCCGTTCTCAGTGATGCCGGGCGAATGTGGGTCTTCGGTGGCTTCGGATGGTCTAACGGACCCTTTTATCACAACGATCTTTGGTGGATCGATCTGGAGGATGGCACCCCGAACTGGAATGAGGTGTCCGTGACCGGAAATGTGCCCACCGGCCGGGTAGACGCTGCGACCGTCCTCACATCGACTGGGCGGTTCTGGCTCTTTGGCGGAACAGATTCTCAGGGCAACATGGAGAATGACCTTTGGTACATCGACGTGGAGGCTCCCAGCCCGACTTGGACACAGAGCTTTGAGATAAACGGGCGACCAAATGGAGTGGCCGCTCATTCCGCCGTGCTTCTGGACGACCACCAAATGTGGATCTTTGGAGGGAACGATGGCACCTTTTCACTGGATGAGCTCTGGTATGCGGAGGTGCCCAGCCCAGCATTCAATCAGACAATTTTCTCGGGCGCCCCTTCCCGTTACCTCCACACCGTCGTGCTAGCACCGAGTGGGCGGATGTGGATGTTCGGTGGGCATGATGTTTCCGATCACAATGACATTTGGTACTGCGACACCAAGGCTCACACGCAAGCCTTCACAGAAGCTTCTCCAAGCGGCAGCGCACCCGCCGAGGTCAAACGCCACACGGCCGTGCTCTCGTCGCAGGGGAACATGTGGGTTTTCGGTGGAGAGCTAAGCGGCGGAGGGCTTGTCAACACTCTGCATAAAATCGACGTGGAGACAGCCGAAACTCCGACCTGGATGCAGGTGTACCCATCCGGCAGCATCGAAGCCCGCAGAGATCACACGGCGGTGATTACATCGAACGACCGCATGTGGATCTTCGCTGGCGTTCAAAACGATTACGGCCGACGAAATGACCTGGTCTACATCGACGTCGAGGATGACAATCCAAGCTATACAACTGCGGCTACATCTGGAAGCCTGCCCCGTGGACGTGGCTTGCCGAGGGTGGTGCTGAACACGACAAGCAATCGAATGTGGATGTTCGGCGGATACAGCAATGAAGAACTGTGGGAGAACGACTTGTGGTTCGTTGACCTGCGCAACGGCACTTTGACCTGGAACGAGGTATTCCCTACTGTCAGCCCGTCCCCACGAGTGGACATGGCTGGGGAGCTCTCTTCCGATGGGCGGTTTTGGATTTATGGGGGCGCTGATAGCAGCGGCCCTCTTAGCGATCTGTGGTTCATCCTACTGGAGGCCCCAGGCTGGGCGTTGACATGGCAGCCTGTCGATCCAGTCACGGTGCTTGGAAACCCCGGTGCCCGGCAGTACCACAGTGCCGTCATAACTTCCTCGGGCGACATGCTGATCTATGGCGGAAAAGACAACAGCGGCACGTTCTCAGACATGTGGAGCCTGTCCCCTGTTGGTCCGGCCATCACAACGCTGGACGCAGAGTGGAGCCAAGTCTCCCCTTCGGACCCTCCAGATGGGCGCGTCTACAGCAGCACGGTCATGAGCCCTGACGGCCGGATGTTGTTGGTGCACGGCTACAAGGACGATCCGAGTTACACCTCGGTTGCTGACCTCGTCTACATTGACACGCAAGTTTGGCTAAGTTCCCTGGCTTGGATAAATGTCTCGCAACCAGGACCCACATTTCCTTCTGCTCGGAGTGGCCACTCCAGCATTCTCACAGAAACTGGCCGCGTTTACATCTATGGTGGCACCGACAGTCCAGGCAGCCCTTCGTCATACTCAGACCTCTGGTACTTTGACACGGAGGCATCCTCAGTCGAGTGGGTTCAGATGTCCGTCACCTCCGCCACAAGTCGGCGCTATCACGGCACAGCTTATTCCTCCGGGAGGATGTACATGTTTGGTGGTGCAACCGGAAGCGGTACGTTGCTCAACGATGTCGGCTACATCGACTTGACGATGAGTGGCAGCACCTGGTGGACCGACATTGCTGTCACAGGCACGCCGCCGAGTGTGCGCTACAAGCACTGCACCGTGATGAGCAGTGTTCGCCGCATGTGGATTTTCGGAGGCCAGCCCGAAATGACCGGCTCATCGTTTTTGAATGATCTTTGGTACATTGACGTGGAGGAGGCTTCGACCAGCTGGTATGAGGTTTCTGTGTCCGGTGTTGTCCCGACAGCCCGTTCTGATCACACCGGCGTGCTCTCTGCGACAGGGAGAATGTGGATCTATGGCGGCACCAGCGCTTTCGGTGTTCTAGGCGACGTCTGGTACATCGATGTCGAGGTCAGTGCCCCATCCTGGGTGCGAATGATCGCTTCGGGCAGCAATCCGGGGGCCCGGATGGCTCACAGTGCTGCCCTCACTGCAGACAATGAGATGTGGCTCTTCAGCGGTTATGACAGTAATGGAGACGTGGACAACGAATTATGGTGCCTGGAGGCCGCTAGTCCTGCCTGGATTCCTATCACTGACTGGACTAATGCCCGTTACGACCACTCTTCTGTGATGACAGCCAGCGGACGTGCTGTGGTTTTCGGCGGCTACACAGGCACACTCGGCCTCAACGACCTGCAGGCCTACGATACGCAAGCATCCTCTTCAAGTTGGTATGAGATCTCGACCTGCTGCCCGCCCGCTGCACGTTGGAGCCATACCGCTGTCATCACATCGGCGGGGCGCATGTGGATTTTCGGCGGTTGGGATGGGTCCAGTAACTACAACGATCTTTGGTACGTCGATGTTGAGGATCCCTCACCTGCGTGGGCTCAAGCTTCCCCTTCCGGTAACATTGCAGCGCGGTCGGAGCATGTAGCCGTCATTTCGGCTGCTGGACGCATGTGGGTGTTTGGTGGCCGTGACATCAGCGGCGGTTCGCGGCTCAATGACCTTTACTATATCGACCTGGAGTCCGACAGCCCCGAGTGGGTGCAGGCCATGGCATCGGGCGTCGCACCCTCAGCGCGCGGAAAGCCGAGCGCCGGTATGAACGATGCCGGTCTTTATATGGTGATCTTCGGTGGTTGGGCAGACTCGGGAGGTTTCCAAGATGACCTGCACTACCTCGATTTGCAGGACCAAACTATGCCCACCTGGCATCAGGTGTCCACCTCTCGCAGACCCCCAGCTCGTGCAGATGCCGCAGCTGTCCTGACCAACGAAGTACGTTTTTGGCTCTTTGGCGGCAATGGTGTTGGCCAACAACGCATTGACGATGTATGGTTTATCAATCTGCAGGCTGCAACACCCAACTGGGTAGAGGTATCACCCATCACTACGTCTGGAAGCCCGTCGGCACGGCAGTTTCACAGCGCTTTGCTGACGCAGCAAGGGGACATATTCTTTTCGGGTGGCAAAACTGGTGCAGGAGTTGCAACAGACGTTTGGTACCTTGTGGGGGTGGCGGCGAATGTGACGGCCTCCACCACTACGAGCACGACCCGTTCCACATCAACCAGCACGACAACTACAGCGATCATCGTTTCGTTGAGATGGACCGAAGTGTTTCCATCTGGAGGAACGCCAACAGCGCGCAGTTATCACAGCGCCAACGTCGACGAAAGTGGAGGGATGTGGATGTATGGCGGCTGGCACCCAGGCGGTGCTTTGGATGACACATGGTACATCGACCTGCAGGACTCGATGCCAATGTGGACTCAACTCTACCCGAACAGCACTCCTGGTGGACGTGCTCGTCATGTTTCCTTCCTTGATGAGACCGGGCGTGTGTGGATCCACGGAGGCTTCGACAGCAGCCCGACTATTGTTGGCTCGCTTTGGATGCTGGACACACAGGCATCGGCTCCGAATTGGACTGAAATGACAGACGGCCTCCCGCCGCTCCGAGACCACAGTGCTGTCATCACAAACACTTCGCAAGTGTACATGTACGGAGGATATGGAGGGGTTGGTTACTGTTGTGAAAGGTCCAGTCTGTATACCTTCAATCTTCAGGATGTACAAATGTACTTCGACATGTCCGGCTCGATTTCTGGCTCCTCGCCTGGAAATCGCCATATGCACATCGCCGTGCTCAGTAGTTCGAACCGAATGTGGATTTTCGGTGGTCTCCAGGCGGGAAGCAAGCTGAATGACTTGAGGTTCGTGGATTTAGATGAAGCAAGCCCGAGCTGGAATGAAGTTTCTCCCACTGGAGCACTTCCGGCGGCACGCGATCTTCACAGTGGCATTTTCACCAGCACTGAGCGTTTGTGGATCTATGGTGGGACGGACACCAACAACAATTTCTTGGATGATATTTGGTTCATCGACCTGCAGGACATTTCGAACACTCCTTTCTGGATGGAAGTCTCCGCACAGAACGCCCCCAGCGCACGGAACCGTCACTCTGCGGTCTTTTCCTCCATGTCGGAAATGTGGGTCTTCGGAGGCGCCAACAACAACGGTTACAAAAACGAGTTGTGGCTTTTGGAGGCATCAAGCCCTTCCTGGTCGCAAATTGCATATAAATGCTGCAGTACGCCAAATCCTCGCATCAATCATCGTGCCGTCTTCTCATCCGACCAGCTCATGTGGATCTTCGCCGGCTGGGACGACGTGAGCATGAGTCTGGTGAACGAGCTTTGGTACTTGGACTTCCAGGAGGATCCGCCGGGATGGTATCAGAAGAGCCCCTCCACAAGCCCCAGTCAACGAGTTGAGCACAGTGCCGCCTTGTCCGGGACCAACCAGCTCTGGATCTATGGTGGTGCCACCAATGGCAATAGCGTCCTCTCCGACCTTTGGTACATCGACCTTCCAGCTGCCTCCTCGTGGGTCCAGATGCACCCATCAGGCAGCGCCGGCTCTCGTAAAGGACATTCTGCAGTGTTCACTGCGCAGGGCATCATGTGGATCTTCGCCGGAAATGATGGAGCAAGCGATCTGAGCGACGTGATGCTAATTGACCTGGAGGCGACAAGCCCTACCTGGATGACAACTTCTGTGATGTCAAGCACGCCTACCGCTCGTTCCCGTCACCAGGCAGTTCTTCGCCACCACACGAACAAGATGTGGATCTACGGCGGCTACACAAGCTCCGGAGACTTCTTTCACTATGACCTTTGGTCAGTCGAACTGGCGGATCCGGAGAACCTTTACTGGCAGCAGTCTTTTCCGAGTGAAAGCCCTCCGGTGCGAGCTGACTGCTCAGCCGTGTTAACCTCCACTGGGCGGCTTTGGATCTGGGGAGGAGTCAACAGTGGTGGAGTTCTCAAGGATCTTTGGGTCATCGATGTGGACGCATATACCCCGACCTGGTCAGAGATCTATGCCGTGACCTCTGCTGGTGGTCCTGGAGGGCGTAATATGCAGAGCACGGTCATCACGCCACAGGGGGATATGTTGATCTTTGGTGGTTCCACAGCGCCACTCAGTGGAACTCCAAGTGCGGTGAACAATGCATGGCGGTTGTCGTCGGTTGGGGTTCCAAGCACTGGGAGCACTACCACGACCACCACGAGTACCAGGGTCAGCAGCACCAGTAGCAGCAGCAGCAGCACTAGCAGCACCAGTACCAGCAGCAGCAGCAGCACCACCAGTACCAGCACCAGCACCGGCAGCAGTAGCAGCAGCAGCACCAGTAGCAGCGGCATCGGCACGACCACCACGGTCACTTCTGCGACCAATGCAACAACGACTTCGAACACCACTTCAACCCTAACATGGACGTCGACCTCCGTAACATCGACTACAACTACTCTACATGCGCTTGCAACGAATACCACAACTACGAACACCTCTTCAACATCAGCATCAACATCGACTACAAGGACAGCCACGGCCTCCACATCTCGTACCACATCGACTGTAAGCTCTTCAACTGCCACAGCTGGTGTGTCTTTGCCTGCCACGAACACGACCACGACTGGCACTACAACCACAGTCTCGGCGACGAGCACTAGCAGGACGAGCACCAGCAGCACCTTGTCACATACCAGCTCATCCTCGCTCAGCACGACACTGACCGGGACGACCAGCAGCACGCAGACCGGCACCACACAAACCACTACGAGCAGCACGGAAACCACCTCGACGCTGAGTTCTTCCAGCACCACTTCGACGTCCAGCACGCTTTCGTCCACCAGCTCAACTTCAACTACCTCGACTTCCCTGACCTCGAGCAGCACGACTGCCACTGTGTCCAGCACCACTAGCAGCACCAGCTCAACTTCTTCAACCACCTCTACGTCCAGAAGCACTTCGACAACCAGCTCAACCTCGAGGACGTCTACATCCAGTAGCCTAACGAGCTCGAGTTCCACGTCCACCACGTCGACTTCAACCTCCAGGACCTCTTCCAGCACCTCCTCATCTTCCACTAGCAGCACGTCCAGCACCTCGACTTCAACCAGCACCTCCAGCACAACGTCCAGCAGCAGCACGAGCTCCTCCACGTCAACTTCCAGCACCACAGGCTCCAGCACATCCAGCACATCCCAAACGACGAGCTCCACCTCGCAGACCTCCTCGAGCTCAACGTCTTCGACCACAACTACCACAACGACTTTGCTGGGAGCTGTAGTGCTGCCGGACGAGTTGGTGGGCACTACACAGGGAGAGGTGCTCGCGCAATCCCTGCAGACAGCTCTGATGGTCGCGTCGCAGAAAGAGCCCATCTACTCCGCCACCACCGCCACGGGCAATGTGACAGCAGTCAAGCTCGAACGGCCCACACAGGATGAGCAGGGACCGAAGGTTTTGGTTCTCAACCGAACCAGGGATACTACCATTCCGATCACTGTGGTGTTACCTCCTAACCTCATCGGGGACTTGTCTACCGAGGGCAATGTGATAATGGTGGTGACCGAGATCGCGGACGAGGTGGCGCGGGAATTGCCGCCGCAAACAGCGAGCGGCGACACGGTCATGATCAACTCGCCAATCGTGGAGCTGTCCTTTGCTCGGGAGGTCAGCGGGGAGGTGGCTCTCCTTGAGGTCTCTCAAGTTTCCGATACCGTCAACCTCACGGTCGTCGGCCGAACACCTGTGCCTGGTGAGAGGTGCGCATTCTTCAACTCCACCACTGGATCTTGGTCAACAGTTGGAACTGAGATCGCTGGCCAAGTCGTAGTGAATGGACAAAACCTGGACGCTGCATGGTGCAAGACGACGCACACCTCCATGTTTGCCATCGTGGAAACCATTCCATTCGACGTCTTGTGGCAGACGAGAGCCAGCGAGCTGAATGCCAGCACTTACATGATCGCCTTGGCAATCGTCATGATCGTCCTATGTTTTGCTGGGGTGGTTGTGTGCTTCCTCCTCTCGCGCCGGCTTCGGCCACCAAGCCGCGGCACAGCCAAGCTCTTGTATAAAAAAGGACAGATGAAACCCATGTCGTTCCAGTGCAGCAGAGTCATCACGGATGGAGGGAAAGAGGTTGACACCGGCTCACCGCAAAACGCCAAGGTGCACAAAGTGTTGGTAAAGTGGGACATCGAGCCGGAAGAGATGGTACAAGACATCAACGAATTACAAGGCTTCCGCCGCTTGATGACCGACATTGGCGGCCCCGCGCTTGAGGTTGTCCGAGTGAATTCCGATCAATCCCAGCTGTCCCGGGCGTCTTCGCGCAAAACGACGCAGCGCTCCTTACAGCAGCTTCAGGACGTTTTTGGCAGTATGATCTTGGACGACGACGACGAGGAGTTCCAGGCTGGCGTGCAGCTTGAAGTGCCGGACGAAGAGATGGTAGCGGTCGACATCGACGATGCAATCCGGCAAGCCGCCCGAGTCGTGACGAAAGAGGCATACGAACACGAAGAGGCGGTGCTATACTTCTCCACATCCCAGCAGTGCTACATACCTGCGAAGGTGACGGGCTCGGGAACCTTCGACGGAGAGGGCATGTTGCCACTCTACAGCCTCCTTGTCGGCGTTCGCGCGCAACAACGGGACCGTGTCCCGATGCAGCTCCTCCGGGCACCCCTGGTCAAAGGAGTTCGCGTGGAGGTGTACACGGACAAGCTGCAGAAATGGCTCCCGGCGCTCGTGTTGCGTGAGCCCTTGGGATTCGTCTCGCATTTGTCCAAGTACCACATCGTGCTGGACAACCTCACCTTTTCTGACCGTGAAAAGATGAAGCAGTGGGACGTGCCCCTCAGCCACCTCCGGCGTCGCTTCGAAGTTGATGCCAAGGTACACGTCTACCGCGGTCGCGAAGATGGCTGGGTGTCGGCCACTGTGGCCACTTTGACGATCGAGTCGGCCCTGCCGCAAGTGTCAGACACGACATCCTTCGCTCCGACATCACCTCGATCGGCAGACGCGACATCACCGCGAATGGTTGCGGGGGCGGCGACTTTTGTGAATGTGATATTCTCTGGAACGGATACGGCTGTCGAGGTGCCTTCCTTCCTAGTTCGCGAACAAGCCGACGTACTCGCACTCTGAGTCCGAATGCCTCAAGCACGCTTTGTAGAAGGGGCATAGTACCAAAAATTTGCTCTCTTTAGCACTGGGAAGTCCGTGCAGTTTGTCATCGACAGCATTGATAACATTCTGACTTCTGCAAGTTATCAAGCCATAGTCTTGGATCATGGTGCATTCCCTTCTACTAGGGAAAGAAGAAGTTACTCCACAGGAATGCTGCAGAAACTATGCAGTCAGATTTTTGAGCTCCTGCTCAGCTGAGCATGCGGCTTTGACCGTGTGTTGACTTAGGCTTCGGCGAGCAAGGAACACTTGACTACAGACGTTTTGCTCTTTGGGTGCAGAAGGGCTCCAGGCATCTTCCTGTTGTCCCCATCAGTCCAAAGGTGAGAGAAATTCACCATGCACTCGCCTTGGCGAGTCACAGGAGCACTTTTGTCGGGAAAGCCACCGCCAAATTGTGCACTGTGATTCAGGCACCATGCATTTCGCCAGGTGTCTCTCGGTGAGGCCATAGTTCAAAGCAGGGACTGCCTGCAGTGATAACAGAAAGTGACCTAAATTCGCGCAATTTCAGCATAGAAGACCATCTAACTCGTTGGGGAAGCGGCTGACAGGAAGGGAGGTTTTGCACAAGTTGTTTTCGCAAGCTTCACTCCAGAGAATGCTTCTGCAGGTCGCATGCCACAACGCACAGCCAGAGGCCTTAAAAGGGCCGCACAATTCGCCGGGATCTTGAAAAGATCCTGTGGGCTGAGTTTGAGGATAGAATTCATGCAGACGTGGGTTTTCCGATCAAGTTGTTGCATTATGGAATTGGCATGGTGTTACATACTTTCTTTGGGATCTTGTTTCGTTTGCCCGGCTTGATCAGTTCTGATGTTGATAATATGATTTCGTGTTCCGTTTGCAGACGATGTTTGAGTCGAGCCGGCTTGGCTGATGCCGAAGCAAGTGAACGGCGAATGATGCGAGACAGGCAGGTTTGGTATTCTACTGGTTTAGCTAGGTTTTCCCTCGCATTATTCGTGGAGTTCTTAGTTGACTCCGACCATGAAACATCAAATTCATCTGGCGAATCCGAGTATGATAGCATAATTGGAAACATGAAATCAATGTATGGGGAAAGATTTTCAACTGAATCAAAGGCCTTCCTGGCTATGATGCACATCTGTCTTGACTAGTTAACTGTGGATCCGGATTGCTGGGTGCCTCATTGAAGGGTTGGGGTAATATCCCTGGCTAGATGTGTCCATTTTGAAACAGCTGGGCAATGTCCCTTGCGGTGGGGGGAGTCGGGCGATAGTATTGCGGCTGAGACATTTCTTGTTGTGTTTGTTGGTTGCTGTTGGGATGGCATTGAGCTTGACTTCTGTGTCCATCTGCTAGCCAGTCCTTCATGCCTGTGGTGCCTTGTGCGAGATGGAAACGAAGATACTAGAGATTCGGAAGTAATTGTTTGACTAGGATATTCAACATGATTTCTTAACTAGAAAGAAATATAAACATAATTTGCATATATATATATATATATATATGTCTATTATACTGTTTTATCATCTCTTCGAATCTGATTCATAGGATACTTTTCTTTTGGATTTTAGTAAATTTGTATATATATATATATATGTGTGTATATATTGGTTTATATATCTTACTTTAAACTGTAGAAATCATATTTTATTGGGTATAAGGTATAAAACTCATTTTGTTTCTCGGGAGGTTATTAAGATAATTTCGTTCTAGATTGTATTCGAGTAGTATTGGAATTGATTCCTGTGGTTCTAGTTCTCCACCGGGGTTATTCGATTTTATTGTTAGTTATTATTCTTCGCTCGTTGAGACTTCCGCGCGCCCAACCGCTACAGACTACCGTGGGACGGCCGTGGGTGTTTAACTGCCTGGATTACTGTGGGACGGCCGGGGTAAATCTCCGATAATGCTAATAGCCCTAAAGAAAATCGTACATCGCATCTATAAACCCTCGACTCGAAAACGTCTATAACCCTGAAGCCTAAACCTCTTCCCTGCGGTGCGACTTTGTTCAGCTGCAATCTCGAAAACTTGATAACCCGAAAGAATATCCTACAATCCAGCCTAAAGCCCAGAACCCTACCTAAAATCCTACAGCCCCGCCTCCTAAACCCCTTAAATAAATTCTAAGCAAAACCCACAGCCCGCCCAAAAAATCTGATTGACCGAAAGGTTACCTTGGTAGGTTTGCCCGAACCCTCCAACCCATGCCTACCAAGGCACTACATTCTCATATCGTTGTGGTCCCTACCAACAGCCATCCTCAATATCGGCACAAACACACTTCTTCTACGCATGATCCTGGATTACAACCCATAATTTCTTCAATATCGTGTGCTGGACATCACGTTTTCCACTCATACTCTTCTACCACAGCCTCAGCATATTGAATTTCAGAAGACAGATTTTCCATAATATGCTGTGCTTCAGAGCACTGGTTTTCCGCAGCATCTTGCTGATCTAGCTCCTTTCCGTAGCTTTTCGAACATCGTTTGTGCAGTCCACAAAGCGCACTACCACCAGTACTACTACTACTACTACTACTACTACTACTGCTACTGCTACTGCTACTACTACTACGACTACGACTACGACTACTACTACTACTACTACTACTAGTACTACTACTACTTCTACTTCTACTACTTCTACTACTACCGGATAACCCCACATGACAATTCCCGCATGTGCCAAGTGAGTTAAAGGGGTGGTGGAGCGATACGTGTGCGTGCGTGTGCATGCGTGCGGGTCTGTGTCTGTGTGTGTGTGTGTTTGTCTCTGTGTGTGTCTCTGCGTGTGTGTGTGTGTGTGTCTGTGTGGATGTCTGTGTGGAAGTCTGTGTGTGTGTGTGTCTGTATGTGTGTCTCTGTCTGTCTCTGTGTGTCTCTTGTCTCTGTGTGTTTGTGTGTGTGTGTGTGTCTGTGCGTGTGTCTGTGTGTCTCTGTGTGTCTCTGTGCGTGTGTGTGTGTGTCTGCGTGTGTGTGTGTGTCTGTGTGCGTGTCTGTGTGTGTGTGTCTGTATGTTTCGTTGGGCTTCTTTGGGTGTATTTGTGCGGGTGCGTCGGTGCGCGCGTGGGTATACATGCATGTATTGGCGTCGGTGGTATGTATATATATATATA